CTCTAAACAAACTCAGAACCAGGTATAAGAACTATGGGGACCTGGAAGCTGTTGTGTTTGAATTCAGCACAAAACAGATCCTGTCCTGGGCAGGGGAAGGAACTAGGAAAGATTTGGTTTTATCTTAAAGTTTTGATTAGCAGGAAATCAGTTTTGCTGCATCCAACTGAAAACATATGAAGCGATTACAATGCAAACTATTACTTGGAAGGTGTACAGAGTCATTCAGTTGTCTGGGCTCCTGCCAGCTGGTCTAGTCTGTAGATGAGTAAGCTTGACTGTTTAGAACTATTGACTTATGTAACCAAAGGGCATTCAGGTCTAAGCAGTGGTTTCTAAGAGAAGGTGGATGGCAAAGGCTTTTTTTTTTTTGTCATCATTAAGTTAACAGATAGTAAGTAGTTACAATATTTCCACACACTTCTTTTAGGGAAGGGGAGTGTTGATAGGCTCAAATATAGTATGTAATTCGCAATTTAGAAAAATATTTCAAGTGTTTAAAAACAGAAAATGTCGGCCCTCATTGATTCCCATATCCTGAGTTTTAAAGGGTAAATATAACAAAAATGTACCACACTTTAAAGTTTAAGAGCAATTCTGTTTTCTGCAAGCCCACCTATACTTTTGCTAACTAACATTATGATAAATGAGATGTTATTTATGCAGTTTCTATGGCTAATATTAGAGGAATGGCTAAAATATTACTATAGACAAAAGTGCTAAGATGTTTCACCTTCATGAAGCTATCTACAATTAAAAGCATTTGGGAGGGGGGTTCCAGGCAGGGTTTCTCTGTGTAGTTCTGGCTGTCCTGCATAGACCAGGCTGGTCTTGAACTCAGAGATCCTCCTGCCTTTGCCTCCTTCATGCTGGGATTAAAGGCGGGTGCCACTACCACCCAGGTAAAGGCATTTTTCATACCCTCTTGTTCACTCATTTTAAAAATATAATATTTTAATTAATATTTTGGCAATTTCACATATGCATACAATGTATTTATGACTCCCCAATCCTCCCTTGACTCCTCTCAGATCCAGCTGGCACTCCCCAACTTCTTGTCCTCTGTGCTGCTCCTATACTCCTGGATGTGGGGCCATGCACTGGAGTAAGTGTAGGTCAACCTCCCAAGGACCACACCCTGAAAGAGGCTCTGTGGGAAGCTGTCATTTCGGGGCTGCAGTCTGAGCCAGTCAGCTAGCCCGCTGTTTGTACCTGAGAGGGCGAGTGTGGTCCAAGAAGGGCTAGCTTGGAGATGTTTTCCTGGTCGCTGATGTGCTGCAGGTTGCAGCCCGTGTTCTCAAGGCTGAGGTCCGTATCAGGTTGGTAGGACTCAAAGCTGGAGTGGCATTCCTCCAGAGCCTGGGGATGGCCAACACGCAGCAGCAGGCTGTGTTCTCATCACTGACCATGGGGATGGTAGCCACAGACAAGGACGACAGCTCAGGCTCCGTGGGGAAAAGACAGCTTCCCACATATGGCGCAGCTACGTGGGGCTATACAGACGGCGGTAACAAGGTTCTTTCTTCTCCAGAAACCATCACTGAACACAAGTCCTAGATTATGGTGGGGCTCCTAGGACCCCATGCTGGTGTGCTGCCTGGCTTGATCCTGCGTTGGCAACCGCAGGGGCTGTGATTTTGTGAGGGTAGTTTTCCTTCCATGTCTAGAAGACACTATTTTACTCCAGACCTCCCTGGCTTCTGGCTCTTACAATCTTTCCATTCCCTTTCTCCCTATAGCCCCTGAACCTTAGGGGTAGGGGAGTGACATAGATGTCCCATTTATGACTGAGCAGGCACACGGAGGAGTGTGACCAGCTATTAGTTTTTGATTGGCCTCTGTCCACTGCACAAGGAAGTGGACTGAGGCCTGAGTGCTGTACTAACCTATGGGTCAAGGTAGAGAGAAGCCTTTTCCTTGCCAGCTGCTTTGGATTTTCCCCACCAGTCGCCTGGGCTCTGCTGCGTTGTAGTCCCCAAATAACACACAAGACGCTATATTAATTATGAAGCTTGTTTCTTACTGGCTAGCTCTGACTTAAGTATTTACCCCATAATTGTTAATCTAAGCATTTCTCTTACCAGAGAAAAGTTCCGAACTTCTTACCCCTATGGCAGCTACATCGTGACTCCCTGTGTTTCTCCTACCCAGAGTCCTCCTGGACTCCTAGTCCTACCTATCTTGCTTCCCTATTGGCCAACAGTGCTTTATTGACATATACACAGGACTTCCCCATCAGGTCAAGAGATAAAAATTTAGAGGGCAGTGTGATATTATGTTTGTTTAGCAAAATAATAGTAGTAGATTTTCCTCTGACCCTATGAGTCTCCCAGCCTTGGACTCTTGGCCTGATTTATTTACAGTACCAGTTATATGATACTTACTGAGTGACAGGTCTTAAATATAGAGAGTGGTTGGTTACCCCATGGCATTTGTGACACTCTCATGAGCATATCTTACCATGCCACTTGTTATTGTAGCTCTCAGTGGTCACAGCTGGGTGAGACCCTTGGTGACTTTTCTATCCTGGAAGCCTGCATAGAATCTTCTTGTACTATTAAAGCTAGCTAGCAGAGAGAAAGATTCCTGGTCAGTGCCAACTTGATTTTCCCCATGTCCTGTGATCAAAGTGTGTGGAATCTTCAGAGGGTCTTAGCATAAACTTGTGGTGAGCAGCTAAGAAATAGGCTGTGTTGCTGTGGTGTCTCCAGGACACCCCTGACCAACAGCTTATCCTACACTGGATGATGGGCTTTTTGTTTTGGCAACCTGTGGCTTATAGAAGGAACACTATCCCCTGTGTGGAGCACCTATGTGCTCTTTTATTTGAATATTCAGTTTTCATGTGTATATGCATGTTTGGTCTGTGTGGATATGTATGCAAGTGTGCATCTCAGGAGTTTGTTTGAGACAGGGTCTCCCAACTGGGACTAAGGGCCAGCTGATTAGGCAAAGCTGGTTGGCCAGCAGACTCCAGAGATGCTCCCGTATCTTCACTTCCTCAGTTCTGGGATTGCAAGTACATGCACTTTTTACACAGGTGAAGGAGGTCAAACTGTAGTCCTTATGCTTGAAGAACAAGCACTTCACTACTGAGCCACTCCTCCCCCACATTCAATCGTGTTTTTTGTCATAAAAACCTTATGACCTTCACTTTCAAAGAGGGAAGCACTAATTTTTGTTACCTATATTGCCCTTATTCCTGCTATTACCAAGAAGGAATTTCTCCTGTTGTCACTGCACACAAATGAATTTCTAAAACAATGTGGTCTCCACCCTGACCCATGTACTGGTTAACACGAAATATCAACCTTTGGAGTTAGCCTGGAAACATCAGTGGTCTGATGAATGTCAACATTGCTCTCAGAACCCCATGAACTATTATCTCAGAGAACAAAGGAAATTCAATCACATGTCACTTGGAGAGTTGTTTTGAACTTTTTGGAGTTGAATCAATCTGTTCTGAGTTGGGAGCCAAGGATAGAAGTAGCATAACATTGGGGCACACAAGCAGGGCCATGGTCGTCTCCCAAGCAGAAAGGGTCCAAGGGTGAGAATGGAAATGAGTCATGCCAAGGATGCCAGGAAAAGGTAGCTGGATATTTATTCAGATAGAGAGAAGTAAAATACACGAGAAGCTGAGAACCGGGTCAGCACTCTATGGTCTTCAAACCTCGGCCGGAATCCAAGAGAGAGGGGTGTCTTTCTGTACTTTCTTTTATCTCTGGTTTCCTCCCACATACCTGTGACCATGCCCATTTGGCATGGTCAGTGTTGCCGGTACGTGATCTTTCCCTACAATTCCCCTTTCGGTCTAAAGAAAAGATTTAGATTTGGTACAAAACTCAAACATATATACAGCACATGGGGAGTTACTTTGTTCTTCACATGGAGCAGAAGAAAATTTAAATCTGACACACTATGTAGGATAGAGGCCCAACTGTGTTGCCCAGGCTATGGCCTCCACCCAGATACCAAATTCCTTCCTGCTCTGGTTGCTGTCCCTAAGCCAGATTCTATTCATTGACTTGAGAAGACTCTTTGAGTGATATGCCAACATGCAGGACATGGCAGCACAGTATTAGTACTGAAACCAGCAACAATCTAGAAAGTTATCCATCTGTGCCTTTTCTGAAAAAAAAACTTTGCAGACTTAAAAATTACTTTTTCACACATCATTGAAAGACTACTAGACAAGAAGCTGCCTCCTTCCAGAGTAGTCCTGTGATGGGGAGATCTAATTGATAGATTCCAGGAAGTGAAATGATGCTTCTTGCTTTTGTGGTCATTTTGTCTAGATTATGGGAGAGCAGAGATGGTAAAAACTTGAGGAGCTCTTGGCCATGCTAATCTTACTTCTCTAAACTCAGTGAGACCAAAGAGGAAGGCCTATTCCTGGACCTGCTCTACCACAGGGACCTGCTCTACCACAGGGACCTGCTCTATCACAGGGACCTGCTCTACCACAGGGACCTGCTCTACCACAGGGACCTGCTCTACCACAGATGCGGACATTGTGTACTACGGAGTGGTTTCACTCTTAGGATACCTGGCATGTAGGGTCTTCCCATTAGTGGTTTAGAGGACTCTAGAGAGCCTGGGTCAGCTACAGTCTCTCTTGTCAGTGTCTGCCAGTAGACTGCATTGTTACCAGACTTGATGCCTTGTCTTTTGTATTTGCATGGAACCTATACATGTACTTGTTGCATGGTGACCTTTGCAGAGACTCTCTTGGATGTCACAGGGCTCACACTCCAGAGATAGCTGAATGCTCATCCAGCTTCATCATTCTAACTTCTTAACTTCTAGTTTGCTCAAAACAACAACAATAAAGGCCCAGCAACGAGTTTTAAAGCATGCTGAGTACGAATGGAACATTTTGACATATAAAGTGACTCCTTTCCTGGATTGAATACAACTATACCTTTTATGGTACCGGTGGCTCTTGGGGATCAATAAAAATGTTTGTGGTTAATGTTTGACTAGAGGGGAAGGGAGAGGCTCGAGGAACAGAGCAGGTAGAGGAAGTGTTTCCTGGGGTTCTCTAGTTGCAGCAAGTGTCTCTACAGCTGAATGGAAGACGACAACTTCTAAGCAGCATTTTCTTACTTGCAGAAAGGTAAGGAGGATCGTCCTCACCATTGTTTCCGTCACATCTATTTTAAGAATGATAAGTTAGGTGGTGGGTGGGAGTGGGGGGAGACTTAATAAGGGCTGGATAAATGTATTCCTCAAGGTGCAGTGCTACACCTAGAAAAGGTTCTTGTGCCTGGTGTCACTAGCTTTGGTGGAGGACACAGTTTCTTCATCTAACAGTTCCTTTTCATGAGTCTGTATTGCAGACATTCACTGGATGAAGTAGCTCTGACTGAACTGAGCCTAGAGTGGAACTAATGAATCACTGGGTTCTCTGAAGTGTAAAAGAGTATTAATAACCATTGTTTGTAATTAGTATCTAAAACTAGTATGACAACACCCCAAAACTCTTACATTGCTGAACCTGGTTTAGACTCTTAGTCTCATAAACTGCAATGTCACTCAGATGTCTTTGAAGATTGTCTGCTTTTCAGAGAAGACAAATTCAGTGGCTGCTTCTTAGGATTGATGGGAAGGGATGGCACAGAGGAGAAAGAAGACGTTTAAAGAAAGTTCTAGAATATGAATTGAAGGGAAAGAACCAGTCCTGCCACACTGTTGGGAAAGGATGGCTGGTGTGTGTGTGTGTGTGTGTGTGTGTGTGTGTGTGTGTGTGTGTGAGAGAGAGAGAGAGAGAGAGAGAGAGAGAGAGAGAGAGAGAGAGAGAGAGAGAGAGAGAGAGGGAGAGTCTTTGCTCATGAGGGATTCTTGGGATGTCATGTGTCACTTGGAATCTTTGTGGTTTTGGTCATTGCCTGTGTTTCTTGATTACAGGTGACTTTATAGGGATGAAGCAGAGGCTCCCCAGAGTAGGGTGTGCCAAGCAGACTGTTTGGGCAATGCCTCTCTGATACTTTTCTGTCTTTATTTTTCCATAAGAATGTAAGTTCAAACAAGGCATTGTTTAAAAGAACAGAGTATACATTCAGATGACTAGAAAGTCAGGCAACGTTGAGGCTTTCTAAAGAAATAAAAGGAATCCTTTTCCTGGGAGTCTACAGTTGACTGTGGGACATACACTTTATGAGTCTTTAGGGTTGGTCAGTTGGGTTGGGCCAGTTTCATCATTGATTGGCTGGAGCATATGAAGCAGAGTACTTATGCCCTCTGAACCCTAATCTTTTCCATTTAGATAACAGATAACCTGCCTAAATGGGGATCGTGAGAAGTAAATGCATAGGCGAAGTGCTTGCTGCAATGGTAGACACTAAGTGAACATTGGTTTATTTTCCAGGAGAAAGTCCAGGTAACTGAGCCAGATCAAGTTGAGGTGTGGTTGTTTGCTCTGTAGGGGAAAAAAGACAAAAGTAGTAATGCCACAGGAAAAAAGACTTTTTAGATGGGACTCACTATGTAGTGCAGGCTACCGTTGAGCTTGTGATTCTCCTGCATGCTGGGATTATAGGCGAGTAACACCACACCCTTCTAGAAAGATCTTCCTACATTGAGCACACACACACATACACACACACAAAGTTATGCTAAAAACATGGGATCTGACATAATAAGAATGATAAAGTGATTGGGTTCTGATAGATATCACTCAAAGGTCAAAAGTTCCTCAAGTGGCTCTCATGTAAGCTTTGAGGTTTGAAGATTACTCAGAAAAGCCCTGAAGGAAGTTATTGCTGTAGAAGATGAACATTACATGTGCAGTAATTTCTTTCTCTTACAAAAGTCAAACCCATGTCCTACTGTCAAAGGAGGGATCTAGAAAGAAAACATACTCCACTTCAACGTTGAAAGAGGTAACTCTGGGAAACAATGCTGACCATTGTTTTGTTCTACAAAAAAAATCAAAATGAAACAAAACAAAACAAGATGCACATAGGAGTAGAAATATTTGTTGATTTGTTAGTATAAAATTGTATTCATTCAGAAATCTCTGGTGTTTAATTTAGAATGGGTTTAGCTTTCCTGTGGTCTACTCATTGAGTAGCTAAGCAAGGAAAGATGTAGAGAATTTTCTTGGGGGTAGATATATTTGCTATTTGTAAGTTGTGAGAATGAACGGGAATATTTACTTCATTTTGAGCTATATCAACTTAACACAATCAGATAGTTACCAAGTAGTTCAAATATTAAATACATTAAAACAGATATTTTTCATGTAAGCAATCTATAACAGACTAAGTTATGCTTGGTAGTGGTGAAAGCAAACCTTAATTCTTCTTAAAAATATTCTGTAATGATGACAATTTGAATTCTATTCAAGATACCCAGATTCAATACTTTCTTACCATATTGAAAAGATTATGACTTACAGGTATTTTTTTTCTCTGATGCTAGGGATTAAATCCAGGGCCACATACAGAGTAGGCAAGTGCTGCCTGCAGTTCTTGAGAGAAGGGAATCAGAATGCTAGATGTGTGTTTTGGAAGATGTTTAAAGATGAGCATGCTCCTCCTGTGCATGCTGGTTAGCATGTGGCTCCTTCTTGGATCTTTACATTCAATCAGGAAAACCTTTCCTTAACTTCCCTGAGTTTAGTTTCCTGCCTTGCATGATAACTAGATCCACATTGCAGGATTGTAGTATTTAAATGAATGGATTTTCCAAAGTGCATTGAATAAATACAAACTTTAAAAGATATTTGAGTCATTATAAACCTTCTAAGGTTAGGTACCCTTCATTAGACAGAATTAAGTTAAATTCGGTTTTGCTTCCTCCCCTCTGCATAGTCATCAGTTAAGATTTAATGACTGGAGGGAGACTGCTAACCTCCTGCACTTGAGCATGACTATGTGTTTTCTTGCCTCAAGGTCATCTTGCAAATTAACTAGTACAATAGCAATAGCAAATGGTGTCTTTTTTTTTTTTACACCCTTTAATGTCTTGGTTTTGTCATATAGAATGGAATTTAGAATTATCTCCTAATGAATTTTGTAGGTTGGCATGTGTGATTTTTATGCTTCACCCACGTGAAGAAATGCTGTTTAATACAAAAGAAACCTTCATAAAAAATAAATCCATCTTTTATGAGGAATAGCAATCCCTACCTCTGTCTTTAGGTCACAGAGGACACTCATGGCAGTGGTCAACTATATATGGAGTACTTCTGCACCCCTCCCAGTTCATCTGGGTTGCAACCTGCTCCCACTAGGGGAAGCAGGGCTAACTCCCATCTCCTGGAGTAAGATAGGCGAGAAGCACATTGCTGTGCACAGATCGAAGTTCCCATCCTTCTGATGACTTGGGGCACCTTTCCTTTTGGGACTAGAGTATTAGATACTTTCTCCAATATCTACTGTCCTGTTGCTGTGATAACATATCAAGACAGCTTAGAAGGAAGTGTTTATGGTTTTGGGAGGGGGGATTCCATACTGGGAGGGTGTAGGTGGGACTTGGCAGCAGGCAGTAGGCATGGTGGCAGGAACAAGAATCTGAAAGATTACATCTTCAACTGCAACAAGAGCAGAGAGTCAACTAGAAGTAGGACAAGTCTGTGAACCTCCAAGGCACACCCTGAGTGATTTACTTCCTCCCTCAAGGCTGTACCAACTGGGGATCAAGAGTTCAAATACCCAAACCTCTGAGTTTCTCATTCAAGCCACCACAACTACTATGTCCCATGAGCCTTTGAGTGGAATCCTTTTCTTCTCAGCTGGCCCAATCCTTGTCTAGTTTGTGGGTATGCTGGGTGAAAAGGAAGCCAGCATGGAGACAGTGATAATGTTCCTCAAAATATTCCCAAGAGCTCTATTTCTTCCTTTAATAAATGCAATTGCATTAGTAATTACTGCTGTAATTAGTCTTATAAGTTTACATCATTTTTAACTTCTCCAGGGATCTATCCTCTTGTGAATTCATATATCCCATCATGAACCTGCTGATAATATAATCACCTCCTGTTTTGGATACCTAGACCCAGATTCTCACATTCAGAGACCAGTTTATCCATACTGTGAAGTTTAGTGAGACCATAAAGCTTGTGTTTTTGTGGGGTCTGGGGTAGATGTGGGGGTGTCTGCTCCCCTTTCTTCCTCTTTCCTTCTTTTCTTTTCCTTCAGCTCTAAGCACACCACACTGGCGCTTCCCACCTCAGGAGCCATCAGTCCTCAGTGTGAGGCAACAGACCTCATTTTATGCCTGGGTGCTTGTTTCTAGCTCATTAACAGTGGCCTTAATTGGGTGGCTAATTTGTCAAGGGTGCAAATTGGTCAGCCCCTACTTACATGAAGTAATTGGTGCCAGTGATTTGTGAGCCAGAACAGAAAGATGGGCTTGGGTGACCTCAGCATGGCTTGGTGAACAATGGTGTGAGCCAGCTTTAATCTGATCTTTATTCATATCTAGCCGTGCCTTAGAATTTATGCTGCTCCTAGCAATATACAATGTAGCTGTAAAACAAATGACACTCAGGCTAAGCCGCACTGTTTGGTCCTGATGGTGTTATGAGTTTAGTCACATCCTCTCCTGCCCACATCACCCTGTGATAAAACAGTTTTGTGTCCTTATCCCACACCTTCCTTGCTATTGCATGGCTCATTCCTCAGTGTTGAATGAGTTATTAAAACCATTGGTGACACTCTCTTCACTCAAAAACCCAAATGAAAAGGTCTAGAGGTGACTGACCTTATTTATGATTTGCCTAGCATTTAGCTTTTCTGTGTGAGCGTGTGTGTGTGTGTGTGTGTGTGATGTTTGCATGTTGAGTTTCTTTAGGTTTGGACCTAGAAAGTCCCTGTAATTACTCAGAGGAAGTAGAAAATGACAAGCATGTCTTCAACGGTGGAAAACAAATGTTAGAAGCATTAGAGCCCATCAAGAGAATTGCTCATGCTTCTTCTTCCAGTGTCACTTTGGGGATGACATAATATGTATAATAACAGATTGCCATCATGAAGTCTCCTTTGAGGCCACCCCTGTCCTAGGATGGCAGCACCTTGTTCAATCAAAGTCAGGAATGAATGGCTGAAACAGAATTCACCATCTCATGGTTCTGGAGCTCAAGTCTAAGACCTAGGTGTCTGCAAGGTTCCT